ACGCAGCCCCTCCCCTGGCCTCAGAGCCTGGGGACCACAAGCAGGGAGCAGACAAACTCCCCTTCCGTGGCCGTGCGGAGCCCCAGCCCTGCTCCGGTCTCCGGGGCTGTGAGGATGGGAAGGGGCCTGCAAGGGAGGACACGCACCCACCTCCATCTCGCTGCCCTCCCGCATGTTGAAGGTCAGGTCCTGGTGGATGTCCGCCATGAACTTGCTGGCATACTCGGGGTAGAGCTGCAGCACCTCGCAGAGCCCCCGCAGCCCGAGGTACTGCAGGTCGCAGTAGGTCAGCGCCTTCACATCCGCATTGGACTTGATCACTTGGTCCGTGCTGCACAGGTCGGCTCCGATCAAATCCCCTTTGCCTGCAGGAGGGCAGCGGGGTGAGCTAGCGGTGCGAGCCCCGGACCCCTTGCCCGGCTGGGCAGCAGAAGGGGCTGGGGGAGAGCCCACGCCGCCTGCCCTCACCCAGGATGGCCAGGACCACGTTGTCCTTCAGCACCTCGAGGGAGCCGGAGCAGACGAAGTAGTTGGCCTGCAGCGCATCGCCCTGGCGCAGCAGGTACTCCCCCGGGGCGCAGAACGAGGTCTTGATGTGGAGAGAGAGGGAGCGGAGGCAGCCCCGGCTGGCCGTCTCGAAGACGGGCAGCTGCAGGATGTCCTTGTTGAGGTGCATGGCCACGTCCGCGCGCAGCTCATCAGGGAAGTCGTGCAGCAGCTGGGGAGAGCGGGGACGGGGCTGGGATGTGGGTGGCAGGGAGCAGCCTTCCCTGCAGCCTGCCAGCCCCAGGGGACAGATCCCCTGCTGGAGCAGAGCATCTCGCTGCTCAGCTGCCCTGGCTGCCTCGGCAGAGCCCAGCAGTCCCAGCTGGCAAACACAGGACAGCTCTGGCCGCGGTGATGGGCTGCTTCTGCTCCACGTGCCTGTCCCGCTCCCCAAGCTGGCAGGAATGTGTCCCAGTCCTGGCACCCAGCTCTAGTCCCTCCAGCAACAGAGCATGGACATGTGCACATCTGCACACGCATACACACACACACACTTGCACACTCATAGCTGGCCCTGCCAGCCCCATCACCCCCACACTGGGTGCAGGACGGGGGGCCGGAGGGGGGGGCTGGCCCAGCCCGGCCAACACCTCCTACCTCGTTAGCATCGATGCCATTGTTCACCGACCAGGTAGTCTGGAAGTACTCCAGCATCCTCTGCTTGAGCTGCTGGGGCAGGCGGTGGACACGGATGAAGTCCTTGAGGTCCTTCATGCGGGTGTGGTAGAGCGAGCGGCGGGAGTACATGCGCTGGATGATGGCCGTGACATTGCCAAAGACGACGGCGTGCATCAGTGCTGGGGGCCAGGAGGGCAGCGTCAGGCCCGCTGAGGGGCCGGCTGGGTGGAGGGCTGCGGCATACGAGGGCCCCAGGCAAGGTCTGGGCTCTGTCCTCACCAGCAACGTGGGGCCAAGGGGTGCAGCACAGGGGCCTTCTCCCCTAACCCAGCCCCAGGACTGTCCCACAGGGCACACGTGTTCATCGCCTCCCCCCCAGTGCCCTCTCATGCCTGGGTACCTGCCGCACCCACTGCTCCAGCAGCCAGAGGTGACGCCCCC